ATTGATGCCAACCTGAGAAGAAACAGAGAGTGGTCTAAGCAGCTGCTCAGCGTGTCCTGGGAGGGTCTGCCCCGGACACTGTGGCTGGGGAAGATGCGGTCACTGGTGTTTGGCCTTTGCCCACCTTTAAGAAACAAGTAGACAGAGCAGACCACTGCTATAAGGAACAGACAAATCCAGGACATGGGATATTCTCTGAGGGGCTGAGGCAGGAGGGTCACAAATTTAAGCCTAGCCTAGGCACAATAACAAGACTGTCTCAAAAGAAAAAGCGCTCAAAATAAAAAATAAAAATGGCTTGGTGTGAAGGCCCTGGGTTAAATTCCTAGGGATGAAAAGGGGAGGGCAGGCTGTTTTTACATTAAGAGACTTAGAAGATAAGTAAAATGCCTGGCCCTTCATTGGCCCTCACTAAAATTGACTATAAAAAGCATTAAGGAAGCTGGGACAGTTTGTATACTAATGACATTCTCATTTACGGGAGGTGCTATTAATTTTATGAGACATAAAAATGGATTATTGTATAACTATATAGGTGGGTTTAACACATTCCCACCAGTTGGAACTACCAGTGGTACATGCATTCCTGGCCCACCAGGCAGCTTGTACCACCCAAAGGAACTGTGCCAGGCCACCTGATGGAAGTCACACATGTATCACTGGTGGTTCAAACTGGCAGAAATGTAACCCAGAGCCCCACTGAGAAGGTGTTAAATGGGTCAGCAAAGCACAAGCAAAGGGAATAAATTTAGATGTGAAATCTGGGGAGTGGGTAACAGGTGTTAGCTGTACGAGTCTCTTTACTGTAATTTAGAAATGACGTTTCACAACATAAAACTCTGAAAATCTCCAGATGAATCTAAACTTAACCTACTTAAATACTGGCCTATACAGAACAAAGTCTATTCAAGGAATTTCCTATTCAGTAGTCTCTGATCCCTGCATTAAAAATACCAACTTGCCCTGAACGCCTCTGGGGACAGCAAGCTTACCACTTCCTACCAGCAGCCTATTCTTCCTCTGAGCACCTCGAGCTCCTCCTAAAGGGAAGCAGGGTGATCTGCCCCCGAGTCTCCTTCCCCTCGGCTCTCACACTGCGCTGCAGAACAGCTCTTCAACACTGGCAAGTGGCCATCATCTTTATGACCCGGGTCCTGGCCTCGGCCTCCCCACTCACTGTGGCCATGCCCACAGCAGTGTCACAGCGCAGGAAAGCAGCACATGTCTTCTAATGCCATAGCTGCCACAGGATTCTCTCCAGCCTTATCTCCCAGGGCAGAGCGGAGCCCTACAGTTGAACCTGGGACTCAGCACCCTAGGAACGGGAACTGACAACAGTGTGGGCATAAGTAAGTTCTTTGCATGACTGCAAAAGCGACTGGCAAACACAGAAGTCCTCCCTCTGACCTGTTTCCCCCGAGTCTGATGGAAGGCCTTTCTGGGCTTCCACAAGCATTCCCATGGGAGCGGGAGCCAGACCACATGGCTAAGTCACTGGCACATGTGAGCGAGGCCACTCCCCTTGACTGGCGTGCCTACAGAATGCCTACCCACCAGGCTAAGTGGCATGAAACTGATACTTCTCCTTTCACAAAGGCAGTCTTTCCAGGAAAACTCACTGTGCCCTCTGGTCCAAAGGCCTGGGACCTATCAAGTTAAAAGCAGCCTTAGAACCTGCAGTTTGCCCTGTTCATCCCTTCCCCGGTATGTCTCTGCTTCATGCCTGCAGCTGGAAGGCATAGGTCACAAGCGAAGCCCTCCCTTCATCCCCAACTTGCCTTGAAACCTGTGGGACACCAGTCCACAAACTGGATGGTGCGCTTGATCTTGATAGTGGCAATGGCAGCCGTCACATCCTTGGCAACCACGTCTCCACGATAGAGCATGCAGCAGGCCATGTACTTGCCGTGGCGAGGGTCACACTTGACCATCTGATTGGAAGGCTCAAAGCAGGCATTGGTGATATCTGATACTGAGAGCTGCTCATGGTAGGCCTTCTCAGCTGAGATAATGGGTGAGTAGGTCACCAGGGGAAAGTGGATACGGGGATAGGGCACCAGGTTGGTCTGGAAGTCTGC